CACATTATGTATTTAGTTTACTGTTTCCGTTTTGTTCGAAAACAGGTATGTCAAAAATTGGCAATGTAGACTGTTATTATTAACTTTATCTAGCTACTGTTCTTTAGGATAAATGCGTTTATTACATGTTTCTATGTCATGTGCTCACTGGTGGAGAGTTGTTTCATTGGCAACCATTTCACATCTTCTTATTCTTGTATTTATAAAAACAGTTATCATTTCATCAATATATATGTGCTTTCGTGGTAAAAAATGATCAGAATTATTTTCTTCCCTTTATGAAGTTTTTACTTGAAAGGAGATTTAAAACTTTAAAAAACTATCGGTAATTAAAGATGCACACTTAGAAATTCCGATGATTTGACGATACAAAATATTGCCATAACGAACAAAATACTGCCAAGTAAGACATTGACAACCTTATTCACGTCAGGAAATGATCAGGATATTTTCATATCTTTTATAACAAAAGAAACATATTATTATTACTACAGATGATTTCAAGACCTGAAAATCCCTGCAAATAGTTTAGATTATTCGCATGACATCGCTGTTTTTGAATTTAATCAAAATATATTAGTTACACCTGTCAAATATTGTCCTCATTGATAACATATCGGGAACACATGACAAAATTCAATTGTAAGGACAATTTCAGTCCTCCGATTGAATAAAGAAAAGGAATGGTCTTCGGTGTATTTCACGTATACATAAAACCAGGTTCAACCAACCATTTGTTTCTTAAAATGTCCTGTACCAAGTCAGGAATATGGCAGTTGTTAACAACTAGTCCGTTTCTATGTATGTTGGCGTTTGTTTTAATTTTTGTTGCAGTTCAGTGTTTCTATCGTTCCGTTGTTTTCCTCTTACAGTTGATGTGTTTCCCTCGGTTTTTGTTTGTGAACCGTTTTTTTTTTTTCGCTTAATCGATTTATGACTTTTTAACAGCGGTATACTACTGTTGCCTTAATTTATACATTCGGAAAATCATTTCGGAAAAAGAAACTGTTTGCTTTTTATATTTTACAACTTATGTACTCTAACGTTTTTAAGAGTCTTTAAAGCAGACATTATATTGATATATTGTTTTAAGTCTGTAATATCACATGTTTAAAAAAGAAATGAACAAATATTTGATATAAAGCTCCTTTAAGTGGGATATATCAAATAAAAAGGCACAAAAAGTACAAATGACAATATGACTAATGATATCAGATGAGAGCCATGTTTATCGTCTGGAGATACAACACACCAATAAGGAATAGGATAACGAACTTTATTATTTTGTTTTCTTTTTAACCAACTTTATCGAATTTGGAAACGAGTAATAAAATCTCACTGTATCTGTTTTTCTAATTAATGGAGGTACAGTTTTGTTGCTGCCAATTGTATTGATTTCATATTTACAAGTTCTAAAAATTAGACGTTCTGCCCATGTAAAAATTAAACGAGTCTATTTGGACCGAACCTCATTTTTTGTAAGAATACGTGTATTTTAGGAGAAGTAATATCATAAACTATCACTTAAATTATTAAAATGGATTCAGATCAGTAGACAAAAATAGAGTACGATGAAATGCAGCATTCCTGTACAACACTGGTAAGCTTGCATGATCTGTTTTTGCAGCACTCGGGAATAACAATACAAAAATAAGAAGAGGTGGTATTATTGCTAGTGATATAACTATTACCAAACACAAACGGACGTGGATATCATCAACTATAGATAACCGTACGACCTTCAACAACTGGCAAAACCCATACTGTATAATAAGCCTGGATATTGCATGCACTCGCAAATTATCCCTGTGAAGTGATTTTTCTAAACTCTACTCAGTATATAAGGACATTGTTTTCTAGAATAGACTTTGAACGTGAGTATATTGGTTTGCATATTCTTTAAAGATAATAATAAATGAAGAAAGATCGAATTGGTTTTTTTTTCTGAAATTGTTCTTCATTCTACAATTGGAAATCAATTCATTTTAATTAATGTGTCAAAGAATGGTTAAACGTAAGCATTGCAAATTAAAATGTATCAAGTGAATTCATTTGAAACTGTTTCAAATCACGCATATCCCGGTACTGACAGATGAATTTAGGAGAGAAAAGAGGTATTTATGTATTTACAATTTAAGCGGATTGTCATTGTCGAAACATACTTTTATTTCATTTCTACAAAATACATATTTTTTAAACAAAATGAAACACGCGTGAAAATAAGAGTAGGGTAGCACCACATGGAAATAAGAATCAACAGTAATTTACATATGTTTAAAAGGTTTGATAATACATGAAGTGGTATGAGCAAGAAAACATTAAATTTCTTTCTTGGAAATCAACAGGAACATTGAGGAATATTGTACTTTAATTTACAAAATTGTCAGAGGATCAAAACTTACTCTATCATGGCATGTGCAAACGCACCGAATACTTTCGGTTAAGTCAACCATCACAGTAACAGTAAATGCAAATGTTACATATTTTGATTTTAAGGAATTACTGATAAAGTCAAATATTCGTAACAAACACACTTATGCATGAAAAAGATACCGGAACATGCCATCAAAGTAATACTATACTGAACTATTGCCTTAGATTTCACTTCCAATATTAGATAAACGAAAATAGGTATATTTTAGTTGTTTAACATTTCTAAATCAATTAGCGCATACATAATACAAGTGTATGGATGCTTCTTGTGCCATTACCCTTTCAGACTATCTCGACCGTGCTTTGTTTGTTGTTGTTCTTCTTTGATTGTATGTCTGTTTTTTCGGAAGGGTCAAGTGTTTTTTATGATGTGATTTGTTGAACTGTTCAACATGTTTTTTAATTCCTTTTTATTTATTATTGTTTAATAGTCTTCTTTAGCCAGGGTTACCAATTTCTTCTAACCAATGCCGTTTACCATTAATGCAATTTTAATATAACTGACTATTACCAACATATTACTTATGTGTGACCTTCTGGTTGGATTACTATCGTTAGATCGGTATGGGTTCACTAATTCAGAAACTCCGTGTGAAGTTATTGCCACGCTCTCTGCACGTCAAATTGGGAGGACAAAGTTCTACAAAGTGACAAGCCAAAAAAGACCTTCGCTATCTTATCGTCTGGAAGCTAGTCAGTGTTTTCTGTCATTTTTTTTCATTTTTATATTCAATAATTGCCGCCATCGGTCTCCTCTATGTGGCACGTTCCAAGAAAAAAAACTTGTCCCTATTCAACATACCATTATTTCCCAGTGGAAGTCCAAATATCCCGGTCATTATGTTAATATGTTAATTGTTTTCCCTTCTTTCCGTTAGTTGATATAGTCGAGCGTTTGATTTGGTCAGGTTTGATGCACAACTTTGAATTTTCCTTGGATTTCGATATTTTCGTCAATACTTTTTTGTTCTAGTCCAGAATATTAATAAAATATTTTCCATTTGCAAGAAAAACAGTTTGGCATTATATGGTATCATCTGCATTTACCTAACATTTGCAAATAATTTCTTTGAAACAGGACAACTATTCGATTTACTTGGAAAAACAAATTGCACAATTGGGAATATGAAACTACAAGAAAGTAACATTTTTTCATCAACTTTTTCCGAGTTAAAGTGTTAAAAGTGTTCGTAAGTTCTTTGGTGTCTTGGTATTATAAAGAGCAAAATGGTTTGCATTTTAAGTTATGAAGTGTTGAGCCTGACGCACATTTTGTTAAATTACATTGTCATCTTATCATATTTATAGAACTGGAACGATGTTTATTGTAAGTAAACGATGCTGTTATTATATTTATGATATTTTTATTTTAAATTTAAAAATTTGTCGCCAATTTATATGTTTTATTAAATCAGTATTCTAGAGTACTTAAAAACGCTTGGGCGTAAAGATCATGCACTGTTCAGCATTAGGATCGTTATAAAAACAAAGAAAACAACAACCAACATACAAACGAATGAACAAAAAAAAAAGCAGCGAAAGGATATGCCGGTTGTCGGTATCTCAGTAAAAACGACTTTACAACGAAATCCAAAGTAAAAAGATGTTTTGGTTCCTTAAAAATACGCTACGTACGTCAACCGCACATCTCAAATTCTTTCGAAATCTGTTCATCACCCCCAGTTTTTGGTGGGATTCGTGTTGAGTAGTCTTTAGTTTTCTATGTTGTGTCATCTGTACTATTATTTGTCTATTTGTCTTTTTATTTTTGGCCATGGCGTTGTCAGTTTGTTTTCGATCTATGAGTTTGACTGTCCCTCTGGTATCTTTCGTCCCTCTGTTACATATATAAAGTGGGGCTAGAACCTTCAGATCTGACAGAATGACGTAAAAGCAAATAAACTGTGGTCTGAAAAATTTTCAATGTTGACGGTGTCAGAGTTTCAACAATTAAAAAGTACAAGTTAGATTTAAAAACGATGTGAATCTTTTAGAAAGAAACAAAAAGATGATAGTGCACTTGAACCTGTTCAATCCTACCGCATTTGAGCAACTCCTGGTGCGTCAACTTGATATAAGTGCATCATTCAATCCTGCTATTCCGAACTCATATTTAATTTTAAAAAGTTTCACAACCAGAACATCGACAAAACTGACAGATGGTTGGAAATGTACTTTTTATCATCTCTCAAATGGTAAATTTGTCGCTAGGAGAACAATATTAAAACAAAAAAAAATAAATACATGTATGAAACTGCAAAACGTGCATTTTTGTGCCAATACAATCCAGAAGATTTCGAAAACCAATTGTATACTTTGTGTATAATTGGTGGAAGAAAGCCAACCGTGTATGCAAAAACGTGTTATATTTTAGCGTTTAGACACAGGGAATCACATAAAGTCATGTGATACCTCTCAACAAATCGTCACTGATTAGTCTATTGTAGTCTTGCTTACAAAATTACAAGCCCGGTAACTTGGATGAGTTTTTCTTTACCATGGCGACCGTAAAGATTTTTTTTTATTTCATTTACCCCATTTAAGAGTACAAAGTAACGACACAGAAATGCAGAAATACATTTATTAATACGATGTAATTGATGAACACTGAATTTATAATGGAAGACAATTATGCAGATGAAAATACGGAGATAACTTAAAGTTGATTTTCTTGTGAATTTCTATAACACAGATAAAACTAAAATCAACGTTTTAAGAAGTTACATGAAATCTGATAATATCGATGAGGTCCTCTACGTTCTAAAAAAAAAATCACTGTAAATATATAACACAAAAAATGTTGGTTTTATCAATATTTCATCGGTTTTTTTTATTGACTGATAGAACGGATGTTGAAGATCTATGTTTTCAATGTGATTATAAAAAGAAAACAACATATAAATGGGAAGAAAAACTCAATTTTACTATTAAGTATCGAACTTCCTCAAGTCTCTATTGTTATGACATTTTGACTTTAATAGTGTGGATTCGTATGAAGGCTGATGCGCGATATGCTTCATGTGTTGACGAACCCGGTCTCGCTCCGTTTGGAGTTCATGCGATCTTTTATCTTGTTTTGTATAGTTGAATGAATTTACAGTATTTTAACATCGTTAAACTATTGTTTCAACTTCCAAAAATTGAGTGAGACTAACACAGGATAAAGTGTTATTCTCTTTTGCTTGTATATTAATGTTCTAAAAAGTATTCAATTTCTTAAGCAATTTTCAAAGCATCCATATCGTATCTTCTCACATTCATTTTACATATCAATAAGTGGTAGAAGATATCAAAAGGATAAGCAAAACTCATAAGTCGAAGAAAAACTGACAACATCATATCATAAAACACTAAATAGAAAATTGAAGACTGAGCAACGCGGATCTCACCAAAAACCAGGGTTGAAATCAGGTTCTCCGAAAGCGTATGCTGGTCCTGTTCCAAAGGTTAGTGTTAGTTTACAAAAAATACTTTATTCAGTTGATCGATAACATTTGATTTTGTCAGTTATTATGGACTTCACCTTTTTGATTTTGCCTAAGAGTTCAGTATTTTGTTTTGCTCTATTTTTCAACTTTGTTTTTTTCTTTGAAAAGTTTAAACAATATGAAGCACCAAGTTACTTTCTGCCTTTTGATGGGCGATTATTCTAATGAATCTAGACTTCCAAAGTACCGTGTATTTTAGAACATTTGCTATAGCCATTTCTAGATAATTATTTACATGGATACATATCATACCTGATAGTATATAGTTAAGTATCACAACTGCCGACATGGTCACATGTTAACTTTTGTTGACACCATTCAGTTTCAGGTGCACAGGGTTTTATATCTGCACCTCCATGCTCGTCACACTGGATGAAATGCGTAGGACAGCTGGTCTCCAAGTAATACAGTGGTGGGTCTTCCTTGATACTGGTAGCACATTTTCCCAACACATCTACAATGTTAACCATATGGTCGTTTTTTATAGGTTTTTTTTTATCATCCACCGTTTTATGTAAATGACAGCTATGAAAATAAAATAAAGAAACACAGCAGAAATGTAAAACCTTTATACAAATCATGAAATAAAGATAGTTTATACTGGTATTGTTGTATACAATAAGGCAACATCCATAACAACATAAATTTAACCTCAGGCAATGCAAAATACTCCAAACTGGTAAATATCACACACTGAAAACAGGTGATTGTGACAAGTAATTCTTATTCAGAATTCAGATCTCTTCTTAATTTTCTGGATACGTTTTTGTATACTCACACTCCGGGTTTTCAGTATCCGTGCAGTCGCCAATTAGAATGATGTCGACTAAGTCAATATCCAAGTGGTGTTTCGCCCGCATCTTCATCAAGTCCACCGCCAGTCCCTGTCCCATCGGCATTCCCATCGTCCGACCCAGTTTCATCGTTAGATACCGTGCCATCGTCTGATCCTGTTCCATCGTTATGTCCAATCTCATCATATGATCCGTCATGTGAACCGGTTTCGTCATTTGATCCTGAGTCATCAGTCTCTCCTGTGTTTGAATCTATAATCCAAATTTATGAAAATTTAAGGATTTGAATAAAGTTGATAAATTATTTTAAAAAAGAAGGAAATGAAAAAAGAAATTATTTTTACTACAACATTTTTTAATGCTTATATGTTTGTTTTTTTTTTTCAGTTGAGTAATTTACGTCTTGTTATGTGAAACGTTTACATTCCTTTTTATCTTATGTATAGACAGGTTTTTCCGATTATCTGCCTTAGTTTGTGACGCGACTCCTAGTATTTTACAAGCCTTACTTTTCGAAATATGAAAGCGTCGTCCCAAAAAAACAAATATCAAACTAAGTGTTAACCTCATCAGTACGATCGAGTAACAGCTGATCTGCAATATCGTAGTTGAAAATTAAATTGTGTAGTAATTCCACTAAAGTAAAGAAAACTTAGTTACATAAGTATACAATAAGGCTTCACTGTCATTCATAATATTTCTATACGCTGACGTGCTTCCCCCCTTTCATTTAATTTTGAACTCCTTACTCCTCTGTTAACAATATTTTTGTCTGAGTTGATGTTGTCGGAATGTCTGTCATTTTGCAGCATAAATATAGTCGTCATAAATAAAAAAGTTCGTCTCTTCACATTGAGTTGATTTCCTTACAATTAAAACTACATGTAGCCTCGGGGTAGGTTTCATTGTTAATATATAAAGAAATGTGCAGGGGCGGATTTAGGGGGGGTGCCCCCTTTATGGAGCTTCAATCATTTATGGTTAATCCATACTTTTTACTGCTTCGACTACAAATTTTGTCTAGTTTGGATGCCAGCGCCCCCCCCCCCTCCCCTTTTCAAAATCCTGGATCCGCATCTGATGTGTGAATATTCTATACAAAAAGAACACTGTTGTCATCGGATTATTTTTCATAGATTAATTTAAGTTTTTTACAGTCGTTTCACGACGTGTCAACATTCGTCTGCCAGTGTAATTTTACTTTCATAACAAGTTTTAATTAAAAAAAGAACGAATTGTGTGCAGTCGGCGCACCATCCAGAAAAAAATATATACAAAAACCTGTTTATGCAAAGTTTTTCTGTTTACAGCTTTGATCCACTTAAGTTTTGTTGGCTCGTCAGAAGGCATCAAATAAGACTATTACTAACTGCACAAGAAATGCCTTCACCTTTTTTATAATTTTCGTATCCATAGTAATATAAATCAGAAAATGAAAGAAATACAAATGTAAACAGAAAATCAATAAGGTTTCGATCAATACACGTGCGTTATTTTTCACGGTCGTAATGGCTGATCGGTCACGTGAGAGGGTAATGGATGCGCCTATTTTCTATGTCAATTATAGATAAACCCGTCTATAACTTTGATATTGATATATGTTTTGACCAAACTAGATTTTTCGACAATGAAGAATTCTTTCTACTTTAAATCAATATTCATTTTGCAAGAGTTTCCAAAGAGTTCGCGCAATTTAGCACATTTCGTGTTCCCAGAATCATATATATACTCTGTTAATTGCCCTTTTCTACATGTAAATTAAAAGGGAACAAGAAACTATGTGATCAATACAAAATGTCGACGAAACCGAAGGGAAAAAGACGAAAAGCCACTACACAGAAAATAAAAGCTGAGTAATATCAACCCTTTAGCAAAACCGTGAGAGTAAATTCAGTTCTCATGATTGGAAAGCATTGCCAATTCTTTTAGAAGCACCTATGATGATATTATAATGTCCTTCCCATGAGCAGCAGGACCCGACTACAAAACTAGAGATGAAGTGAGGCTCTCTTTCGGTTTGTTTATAACACGCAGAAATCTGACGAGAAGCCGCATTTATTATAAATAGGATAGCTAGGATGGTGGATACGAACAATTTAACATTTCCGTTTTTTTTCTGTGACGCAAATATCCAATAGCCTTATTATGGCGTCAACCAAACTATGATGAAGCCCGTTATGCTTTTAACTTTTGAAAAGAAGACCTCATTTTTGTGCTTTGTGCGATTATTTTGTTTCAAAACTATGATACCCGAGTACGTCCTAGATAGATCGATGTTTTTCAAAGCGGAATAACTCAAAATATTTCACTATTTTGAAATAAATAATAAATTTGGGGAAAACATTCAACCAGAAACAACCTGTAAATTGTCAAAACACCATGCAAGGCTTCTAATTTAGTACGTAAATGCACAACAAGGAAATTTGCTTAACAGGAAAAATTAAACTGTAAAGTTACATACCATCAAATGGGTAGCTACATTGTTTTTTGTGAAGAAGTACTGTTTCACCCTGTACAGTAAAAAGACATTCGTTATCAAACATATTAATAACAATATCATGCAAAAAAATTAGTGTTATTAAACTAGTAAGTAACATACATATTTGGAATACAGATTTGTCTCTTTTACACCAAATTTGCTGTTTTTTAGTCAGAAAGCCCTAACACCGATAGGATTGAGAAATCCTATAAAAACCATACAGCCCCAGACACTACAAAAGTCTAAAAGTCTGAAAAGACCAGTTTTTGTCTTAATTTGCATGAACTTTTACTCGACATTCTCCAAAAGTATGACTTGTGTCTTAATTTTTCTTGACAAATTCTCATTTATATTAAATTTGTATGAAATTTACTCGACATATTCTCGACATTCTGAATATGGTCTTAAAATTTCTTGACAAATTCTTGACATTTGAATACTGTCTTGAAATTTCTCGACATATTCTCGACATTCTTATTTTTTCTCAGTATGGCTTGACATATTCTGAACATTTTGAATCGTGTCTTAAATTTACTTGACAGTTCTGAGTTTTACAAATCATGACTCATGACCAATATTCATGATATAACTTTAATCTTTATTTCTCTTTATATGATATACTGTTGTTTCAAGTTACACTTCTTTACAACAAAAATAAAAGTTGGGCATTTAAAATAATTGAAAATTTTTTGTATATAAATATTTTTACAAATGCAAATATGGCTATGAAATCTAAAGTATAAAATAATTCAAATGTGGGTGTGTTGATATAAAACAATTTCAATGTGGGTTTTTAAATAATTACAAATTTTGATTCCTAAATCTTATAAATTAAATGATTCAAACCAATCATACTGTAGACATATTTCATTCTACATTCATAATATTCAATGTTGATATGGTAAATAATTATTATACCAAAATGTGGTTTATATAAATAGCAAATTATGATGATATACAAATCATTCATTTAACAGAAGAAAAATTTGTGTAATGTCATCTGTTGGAATATATTAAGTATTACACATGGACAGGATGTTCCCCATAAAATTAAGGTATTCCACACCCCAGAGTACACGCAACTGTCAAATAGAAGTTATTGCTTTACCTGTAATCAGCCATACAACTTATCAGTTGACCGACCATGCCACTACAATTTAAAAAGTTTGTTGATAGATGAAAATGAAAATCATCATTTTGATGAAAAAAAATTGAATTGAAATGGATTTTCTTCATCAAAATTATGAAGTTAATTATTTTAACATAAAAACAAATTGAATAATTCCCAAAGATTAAAAGAAAATTATTATCTACTCAAGGAATAATAAGAAAAATGTATTTATAATGGGTCCCATCAATGATTTCTATAGAAATTATCGGTCTTATGAAATGGTTCTCAAACAGACATGCATAATATAGATCTAAACATTTTTTTCTTTTCAGGAAGGAGTTATCACAAATATTTATTTTTGATAAAAAATTATAAAATTCAACACTCAAATTTGAATAAAAAATGTTTTTGGGTTGTTCTAAAAAATGAATAAGGTTTTTGAATCAAGATGGGAACAAATTCTTTGACATAAACAAAAGCCCCCCCCCCCTCTTTTTTTTAGCCACACAAACCCAAAAGATGAATTCTGGGGTCCAAAAGAGATACACATGATACAAGACACCTATTTTAGTAAAGTTGACTGGCAGTTTTGTGAAAGGCAAAAATCTAAATGCTGTTTTTCAATACCTTCGACTTATATTCCAAGTGAAAACAATTACTTAAATGTTTAATAAAATAAATCAAAATTAAACTACATGGGGGATTATTCAGGGTATTCCAACTTAGTTGCACCAAAAGGGTATCTTACTATACCAAATTAATCCTTGATTCTTCAAAGTTTAGTTTAGCCATAATAAAAAGGAGTATATAACAGCAATAGAATGTCATAAACAGTGCAGAATAAGTCTGTTCACATTTCAGGCGAAATTTATACTGTTGAGATAGTGTCAAGACATATTTAAGACTGTCAAGAATGTGTCGAGACATATTCAGACATTATTTAGAATGTCAAGAATATGTCGAGACATATTCAGACATTATTAAGAATGTCAAGAATATGTCAAGACAGATCGAGACAAATTTAAGACAGTCAAGAATTGGTCGAGACTAATCCAGACTCTTATAAGATGATACAGGAAGTGTCGAGAAATTTTAAGACAATGTTCATACTGTCAAGACACTTGTCAAGAAAAATCAAGAACCTTATTAGACAAATTCATACTATGTCAAGAATTTTTAAAAATTATTCAGACAAATTAAGAATGTCGAGTAAAAATTCATGCAAATTCAGACAAAAACTGGTCTTTTCAGACTTTTTGACTTTTGTAGTGAGAGATAATTATTAAAACGCAGTAAACTCATTAAATTATTATTATCTAAATTGCATATAGTCGTCTCTCATCTTCGTGACTGACGCCACTCGGGTATGATGAGACTTTATCAAAAACATTCTTCGAATGCTGAACCGTCAATAGTAACAGATTAAAATATTCACAATATAAAAAGTCAGTGAGCTGTATTATTGTTAAGGTGTGTTTACGTTTAGATATGGCAATTCTTTAAATTATTAAAAGCTCCTAAAACGTGAGTGTCATATAGATAATTATACATTCATGTAACTGCTCCTTAGATTAAATGAAAAGAACTAATACTGACTTTGAACATGTCTTCCTTTTTCCGGTTTTTCTACAGTTATTGATTGTCTTTACAGAAGCAACTTTACATTGACATCGTCTGTACTTAATGATAAGTTTGTTTACATTTGTTACCAATCATTCTCACGGTAAGATATTGCATGAGTTTTTACTATCTGTGATTCGTTGTTCTATCGAGGACAATTTGTCGAGGGTCGATATATCATATGTCAATTATCACAGACAACGGTAACTCGTATATTTTTATCGTGGTGGTTGGTGGCTAGGAGTATAATTATGATGCTTCTTCATGAGATGATGATTTGTTAATGGTTATTTTTAACGCATTGTAACAATAAAAGAATCTGTCTGTCTGTCTGTGTATATTCAGACATATTTATTTAGATCTACCTTCAGGTATGGTGATGCTGTTTGACAAGCTAATATACAGAAATATATACACACGAAACATCTTGCCATATCTAGTATTTCTTACAAATAAATCAATATTATCTTAACCAATGAAATTCAAGGATATGTTGAATATGTTTCGTTATAATGGGTTGATATTCCCTTATCATAGTAATCATAGGAGAGAGATGACATGAATACAGCCGGTAATGAACTCAGGTGTTTCTGATGGGTAATCATTTCTTGTTTCGTTGGTGGCAACTGTCGTGTTACTCTTGACAAGTAAAAATTGGGTTATAAGTCGCATTCGTGTCATAATCGAGGAGAGAACGGCAGGATTTGCGTTACAATAGTGATACATGTCCGTGGTCAAATGTCCCATAAATTTTAAATCACAGTCAACCTAATCATGATAGCGTCCGTAAAACTTTCAAAAAGATGACTTCAACTAATACCATTTGCTCTAAGAATCCTTCTTAAATAACACTGTTGAAGCTTTTACAACTGATAATGACAAAGAATATGATTGTCAATTAGATTTTTAGAGTGGCAAAGATCTTTATTACTTTACCGTTTCTTGTTTCTTCTGCCTTTTCTTCCGCTGTAAAAATGGAGGAGAAACATATAGTTTTTTTTCAATGTTTTTATATTGCACTTAAATTAATTTCAAGCTCCTCTTTTGAAATTTTTAGTACATGAAGTACTTAGGTTTTACATTCTATAATATTTACAGTATGTTTTCGTTTGAGAAAATTATTTTTATCATTTACTCTTAGAATCCTTGTTTTATGACTTTGAATTTTTATATGCTTATCAGTTAGATTTTAGATATTATTTCTTAACAGGTGTCAAAGATCTACACAACGTTACCGTTTCTTGTTTCTTTTGCCTTTTCTTCCGCTGAAAAAAATGAAGGAGAAAAATTAACAGTGCTAATGTAGTATGTTTTCGATGTTGTTATATTGCATTTAAATTCATTTCAATCTCCTCAATTTGACATTTTTAGTAAAAGAAGTACTTAATAGGTGTTACATTCTAAAGCATTTAGTGAATTTACAGTATGTTTTCGTTTGAGAAATATTTTTGTATCATTTGCTCTAAATATCCTTGTCTTATGACTTCGAATTTTGATATGCTAATCACTTAGATTTTAGACATTGATTCTTAACAAGTGTAAGAATCTACATAATTTAACCGTTTCTTGTTTCTTTTGCCTTTGCTTCCTCTGTTGAAACAAAAGAGAAAACTTTACGTGCTGATGTATTTTTTTCGTAATGATTTTTATTTTGCACTTGAGTTCATTACAACCGCCTTTATTTGATTTTTTTAGTATATGATGTACTACATTTTAGAATATTCACAGTATATTTTTGTTTGAGAAAATTATTTTGTATTATTGACTTGAGCATTTGCCTCATGATGATATCACTAAGAAGCACCATGATACTATCTATTCACTGTTAACAACAGTTGTTGTTGAAATCAAAATTGTTTTTTATGTTTATATACTAGTATTTGTATATTACCTGTTACTTTTTTTTAGCTGCAGTACTGCTGAAATTGAAAAAAATAATTCTTCGGTGAGGTATGCAAACAAAGGCTGAAAATTCTTAGTTTTTTGTGTCATCTTGTCAAATTAATATTACAAATTTACATACAAAACGATTTATTAAATTTCAATGAACGTATTCTGAACAACACACTTACCTAGATTGTTTTTTGCCTCTCTCTTGACTACCAGGACTTTGTCAACAATTAAACAAATAAAATCATGTCATATCCTATGAGACTTTACTTTAATAGACTTGCATGGATCTAATAAGTCGCGATGTTTCGCATCCAGCTGTATGAAGTATAAAATCTCATACTGTTGTTATCATTTTGTTTTGAATTGTAGAAATTGGTATCCATATATTTATTAACAGCTGGAAACATGACTAAGACTTTTCTTTTTTGTATACTGCACTGCTTATGGCTTTGTTCTATGCAATACTACATTAGCCGATATTTGACACTACTTTCTTTTAACGGATAAGTCATCAGAACTTGATTTCAGTCAATCCTATCACTTTTCCATGCGGTAATAGCACGTGTTGCTTTGTTTCCACCTATCATTTTTATTATTTCTGTTTGGTGTTTTATTTTTTTTACTTTTTCCATCTTCTGTAATATCGATATCTTATATTAAGCTGCTTCCCTCAACTGATTTTTTTATTGTATTTCTATTATGTACTTTTTGCTATTCCTTCCAATTAGATTGAGAAAAAAATTGGATGTTGAAAAATAAAACTAGATTCCCCTTGAAGTTCAAATTCCCAAAAAGATGTGCTACGTTGAGTTAAGATAATTAACAAGAACCGATGAATAATGAATGTGGTGATGTAGAGACATCCACATTTCTTCTATTGTATGATGCGAAATCACCTGATATGACTCATCAACGCATTTCACTGAAGTAACACGAAGGATAAAACTAGTGGAGCAGTACCTTCCGTCTGGGTTTTTCCAGTTTCTGGTTTCAGTTATATTTGATACTTGTATCACTAAGCATTTGCAATGGCTACTGTTTCAGAATATCTATTATTTTCAAGATAAAAAGCAAACTGAAGATGTTACACACGTACTTTCATTTAAGCCTCATCCTCTTGTAGCCATGGGACAATGTTGCTTGCTTGTGTGGATATGAAAAAATACAACATTCAATATCCCCAATGAATTATTCAGATCGACTTTTATTGAAATTTGCTTGGTGCATGGTTTCAAAGTAGAAAATTTTTTATACGTAAATGACGAGCGACAAATGTTTTGATAGCAGTACTTTCCAAAATGGGCAAGGTGAGTAAAAAAATATAGTTAACCCCGTTGAAATATGAATTTGCCTATTCGAAATCAGCAACGTTGATAAAAGAAAATGTGTGGCAAACGTCAGCAACTCAACAAAACAAAAACCCTAAAAGACATACGATCTTCAATAGTGTACAGGGTTCTATACAAAATTCTAGAACATTAAATAGAGGCTATATATACTGGTATCAATACAAATCTTTCCCAAAAATGACAAAAAAATGCATTAACATGCAACAAAGACAACCACAACGATGTTCCTAACTTGATGCAGACACATGAACATGAAGCTGTTGCAGTTTATTTTTGTAATTTGTTTTTTTTTGTTGGTTTTTTTTTATCATTTTTCAACCCACTTTTAAATCTCGATCTATGGGTATAAACTAATTTTGATCTGAAACGGTCATATTGATCTGAACAGTCTCTTAATAGACTGTGTCATTTGGTCTCTTGTGGAGAGTTTTCTCCTTGGCAATCATACCACATCCTCTTATTTTTATATGAACAATACATTATTAAGTCATTTACAGTCTTTCAGTCAATAAACAGACCTATCCACTGCGGTAAATTCAGTACAGTTCAGATAATTCGCTTGCAGTGAATTAAGATGTTTTCAGTCTATGTTCAGACTGTTCAGTAGTTGTTATTTACCTGTACACATCAACATCATACTGAATTGTCTGAAAAGCTACTAAACAGAACTGAATTGACATCAAGCGAATTGTCTGAACAGTACTGAATTTACCGCAGAGGAAAAGTCTGAAAAGTAAACGAAAGACTGAACATCACTGAATAATTTATTTATTGTTCAGAATTTTGTAGATGGTGTTAAGAGCAAAATGACCGTTTAAGACTAAAATACGTTTATAGTTGTCTATGTATCTTAGTGTGTTGTCATTTAAAGAACTTTCATTTTTATAATAACTTGCCTTTTGTTGAAGCTTATAAGTTGACATTTGAATGTCTCTTCTTTTTTTTTTTGTTTAGTGTTGTTCGGTTGTTGTCGCATTTACGTATACCCCATATCTCCTTTTAATTCATTATCCAAACATAGGCATTTTTATGTGTGAGTCCACACACATACTAAAAGTCCCAAAAAGTGTCACAGTGACTCTGGTTCATACTATTACACAGGACTTGTGATTGATACAAGACCGTATAATATCAAGTTACAAAGTATTAAAATGAATGCAATGTAATTTTTGTTTTAATTCATTTCTTTACATTCGAATAAGTACAGTATGCATATACATGAACAATTGTTAAAAAAGACATTGACAATGTGAGCTGTTTCCTCTAGATTTCTTTCCAAATAATGGTAACGATTCTACCATCGGATAGGGAAAGCTTATGATTGATGAAGGCATCCACAGGGTAAGACTATGGGACCTATTTCCAAGAGTAACTATGAAAGTGATTTTCTTAAAAAATTAATGTAAAAATTCCCAATAGTAAAAACAAAGTTCCTTGCAAAAATATCAGGTAGATTACTGTTATTTGCAAACCTCTTCTTATATGTATGCCAAAATGTCGATGTAATTTCATAGTTGGTATTTAAGTATTCATTTCCAATAAGGGCTCATTAATTGCTAGGGTTAGTCGTGCTGGAAAAGTAAGGTCAGGGGACGTCTAACTAAAAACTAGATTCATGTGTAGTAAAGAGTTACGAAAACAGTCCCGAGGTTTACAGAAAGTGTTTTTTTTCTAATTTTATTGTTCCCTGAATTTTATCTTCTAAAAATCCACTGTTGTTATAGTTTTGTTACTGTTCATCTTGTAAACTATAAGCTTTCAGTTGATATATACTGATATTTATAGGTTATTTAGGTTGTTGTTAAGATAATTTTGAAGAAAATTACAGATCTCTAAACTCGATAGACTTATATACATACTGAAAAAAGTCAAAAGGATATTTATTTTGAGAGATAAAGAAATATCAGGCAGCTATGACTAAACACCAAAAAGTAAATAAAAAGTGTTGTAGAAGGTTAAATTTAAATAAAACAATATGCAAGTATTAGACACAATCTGTAAAAGTACGAAACTTCAAGAAATTAGAAGACTGTGCATAAATTAAGAAACTCACTCGCTACTCTCACTAACTGCTGTCCTGAAAAGTAAAGACAATATATTTAACTACAAGTGAAATTCAAAATATCAATGCTGATTTATAGATAATAACATGTATCACAATATTTTAGAAAGTCTATTTCGTTATTATTAGTTTCATAGATCCACAGCGGGAAACGTCACATACATTGCCATGCATATATATATCCGCGTGTAGTAGAGGGCCATATAAATGAACGATTTTTTGAAGATCTGATCTATCTGGGACATAATATATGTTAGTATACTATTCAAATGATCTATGAATATAAAACTTTGTTATCAAAAATCGAAAGGATGTGCAGTAATCTTGTCGTATCTCACTTAAAAGAATCAACATATTTCTAACTCTTAAGGATGTTCGCTACTCTGTTTCAAAATAACAAGCCTTTTAAAAGACTGTTTTAAATTTATAGTATGTAAATAACTGAACTTAAAAAAAGCAGAAAAAATGATAGGTCAGTGTCCTTATTTTTGAGATATAAGCAATTGAAAATTTGGCGGGAAATAATTCCCTCCAGATTTTTCATACATTTAACATTGGCACCTTTTTACTTTCAAAAACTATGAAAAAATAACAAGGATTTTATAGGATTTTTCAAATATGGCTTTTTAAACTATATGTGATAAAATAATGAATAGAAAACGGTAGGGGTTAGAGGGCAAATTTTTAAATGGCAGTACATGGATAAAATCAGAGGATTTCGAATATCTGGCAAAAAATCAAAAACAAGAGGAGCGAACATCCTTAACTTTAAACTTGGTCTACTTTATACATTATATATATCCTGTATGTACAAATCGGTGTTGACGACTGATTGATTATAAGCTTAACTGCGAAAGAGATCATGACTCGATTTTTCCGTTATGGACTTGTCATTTTCATGTTGAAGCATTCAATCAACACTCCTATGTCCGAATAATTGTTATATATTTCTCAGTTGATACATATTCAAGGGTTTTACACACTCTAGACGGTAAAGAACCCTTAATACATGTACAACTTTTTGAGTGAGGGGCCCATTTGTGACCTAATTGATGTGTGTCCCTATCTTCCAGTGGCAATCAGAACCTACTTATATAATTATATGTATCAATTGTTTATTTGTTCTCAACCCGAATATGCATGAAATATTTGCCACTGAACGCTGAGCAAGAAAAATTAATCAATCAATCTAAAGGCCAGAGATTAAAACACTTTGTTATTTTCTATGGAATTAGTATTTTCTTCTAACAAAACTCAACTTATGGTCGAAGCAGTTATATGAACCATATGAAAATCTTATAGAATCCAAGACACATTCAAAATACTCACCCAGTTTATTTTCCTTTTCCGTTTTTTCTTCCGCCTCTGTAAAAAATTGTTAAAAAATCAACAGACTTGATGAGAAGTAATGATCGTAAATCCTAAACCTATATTTATAAGTTATAAGTTTAGTTTAGATTAAGCATTTAAAAACAAGAATAAATATTCTTCATTATTTTTATATTTCTAATTGCATTTGCTACTATAAGACTATGCTTTTTTATCCACGTAGCTTTAAGTTTCAATATTTAACACGAATTAAAAATAAAAGTTACAAGGACAGATAACTCGCAACAATTTTCTTTCTACCGATTATCATATTTAGATAATAATACTTTACAGAGGTACTATTCTTTATGAATATAATGGTAACAAGTAATTGAAAATTTACCAAATTACAAACTTACAATGCTATCTTAAATTTAATCTAAAGTATATTTTTTTTTAAACTTGACATGTTGAACTGTACTTGTCACATTACTTTACGGGTATTCAAATTTTGGTAAATTTCCAATTATAATTTAATGTTTTATGCTTTTAGGTCATCATGTTTCTTTTATATACTCGTGAATTTCCTTTTTGTTGAACTTTTTATATTTTTGTTTAACAGTTTTTTTTTTTTGTAATAATGTATATATACGTTTTCTGTGTAAACGGCAAATATTCTTTCAACAATGACAACTTTTTTCGATTGCGTCCTTTGATTTAAATGGGGACAAAAAAACTTTGATACTAACATGAAAAAACAACTGCATGAGCTAAAAAAGAAATGAACAAAAAAAGAAATATTTTAATTCCAAAGATGCCAATTATTTTTAATCTATACTGTTATTGTCGAAAAAGGGGGGTCCTCAACAAAAGTAAAGAAATGTCAACTCACATGTATCAACAACATACCTTATATAAAGCCAAATTATAAATTCTTATTTATTTTGGGTACTAACTATCATTTCAAAGAATTTCAAAATCATATATGCAGAGATGAAAAAAACATGTTCAAATCTGTTGACTGTGGAATAACAGTATTGACTTTTTATGTTACTTAGACTTTCATGTCATATCTCTTCCTTTTCATATTTCATATTATATCTACATTTTAACTGGTCATGCAGGAAAGACCATATAATTTTAAAAAAAAAACAGGTTCTTTTTTCATAATACCGAGGCTGACATTCAAACAAATTTACTAGTATAGCAAAAACATTATTTTGATAATATGGAAGCTGTTTTCAAATTAGAAGCAAAATTAAAATTTCACAGTTGAAAAATTACAGATTATCAAGATTACCTTCTGTGGCCGTCTACTTCAACACTGATGAAAATGATCATCAACAAAATACAAATTATTGGTAGTTTGGACATCTTGTATGGTGCAAGTCCAGGTCAGATCTGACACCAAGAAGGTTTATTTCGAGTTATATAAACGTCAAAAATTAAAGTTAACAAAAGAAATTGATTGTTGTGTACTTGAAATGGATTTTTTGAAACTCAGACGTAAAACAGTGACATGATATATTTTTTTTGTGTTCAGAAAATGAATTGATTAATATTCTGTTTACAATTCCCTGTAATTTTTAACAAGATTTAGTACTGAATTTCCAAAGTTCATTAAGTGAAGATTGATTTTCTTTTTCTATTTAGACCTTAAAAAAGTTCAAATGGAAATACTATGTTCAAATCGTCGATCTGATTCAATACAATTAAAAGAATCAGGAATAGTGGCGACTGAATAGTGGCGACTGTATCTTTAAATTTTTTCTATGCAATCAAAAAGATATCTTTGGTCATTTTATATCTATCTTACCGCCAAATTCCTTTTTCTATTTTATAAAAAATAACAAACAACCCGTAAATGGCTAGAATACGAGATAGAAGTCCAAAAGTAAAAAAAAGTTAAAATGTAAACCCAAATTGAAACGTAGCAATAAATCGAGATATTTCCGCTTGACTGTAAATATTAGAAAATATGTAAATATCGTATTTCATTTTTTTGGATTTTTAAATCAATAAAATCTTTGAACTTTGAAAGGATTTGTTTACTTGTCCCAAAAGTAGACTTGTTACATATATGTAGCCAATCTTATCATGCACTTATTCAATTTCAACACTTTTACTTCGCTTAATTTAAAATATTTGTGTAAAATGCTTGGCACAAAAAGTGAAACATTCGATTATTTAGCTTTATATATCAAGCGTACAGAGTGTGTGTATATCATTCAATTTTGCATTAACACATATACAATCATATTTTGACCAACAAATCAATAACAGTTCAAACTAAAGATGTCAAATCTACAAGAAAACACGATTCACTTTGGATGGAATTAATTCAAGAAACGGAATCCTCTCTTTTTATTCAATGGCTGATCGTTTTAAGTTATTTCAAAAATCTTAACATATATAGTCTTTTTTTTTTCTTCTCCAAATATCAAACTAAGGAAGTAAACGGTTTGTGGTTCTGTGAAATATACTGGGAAAGTTGCAATATTTGTTTTGTTTTGTCAAGGATTTGTATAGTAAATCCTTGGTTTTGTTAAGATTGGAATTTCCATTTTCGTCCGTTGTAGACTAATTTTGACAGTTATCGGCGTTTGGTTATTATGTTGATTCCAAGCGAACTTCCGATTGATTTGTTTATCAAAATGGATACCCCTTTTGGTAAAAACTCTTTTTTCTTTAATATCTCTTAAGATATAGTATATACAGTCTTAAAAACACATTGACTACTTTGTTTAAGACATGGAAGCAATGATGCAAACATATTCAGTATTGCCAGTTAATGATATTCAGTCAAAAATATCGTCCTAAGATTTCCCGAAGTTTTTCCACATTGTTTACAAAATGTATTTCGCTATATATATATTTGCCGTATGCATTTGTTATGTACAATTAATCAATTCTAAGATTAAGCTTTACAAAATACGCCACCGCAATCCAAAATACTTATACTTGGTTGTAGAACGTTGAAACGAAGTGGACAAACATCATGATCACAAAACAGAGAAATATTTTCTTGTAGAAAAAAGCTACATTAGGTACACAACAGCATTATACATGTATTCTCAAACAGACTTTCTGTTTGCAAGATATCACTTGGTAGGTTACATGTATAAAAAAAGTAGATGACTTTGATTTTACAATTATATGTTTCATTTGTTAAACAAATTCAGCTGAGCTTAAATAATTTAAGCTCAGCTGTTGAGAGGTGAACAGAGATCTACATTGACTACTCAGTACAATAGACATATTTACACTATTATATACATGTAGATATAGGAAGATGTGGTATGAGTGCCAATGAGACAACTCTCCATCCAAGTAACAATTTATAAAAGTAAACCATTATAGGTCAAGGTACGGCCTTCAACACAGAGCATTGGCTCACACCGAACAGCAAGCTATAAAGGGCCCCCAAAAATTACTAGTGTAAAACCATTCAAACGGAAAAACCAACGGTCTAATCTATAAAAAAACTAGAAACGAGAAACACATATGAACTACATAAACAGACGACAACTACTGTAATCAGATTCCTGACATAGGACAGGTGCAAACATTTGCAGCGGGATTTAACGTTTTAATGGTACCAAACCTTATGCAAATTAATCTTCCATTTCTTAAAATCATGCAAGTTCCTGCAAAATTTTGCATCACAGTTAAACAAATTTACGTTTTATCCTGTATATTAAAATCAGTGATGATAACTGATATCAGTTCCTCTTTTGATAAGTGACAAATGTTATCAAATAACCTGTGGAACAAAAAATATCCAATTGTTTGGGTATCTTCTGTTGCTTTACTTCATATTGAAATAAGTCTATGAGGATGAAACATGATCCCAAAATCTTGAAAATGATTCAAAATCAAATGTTACTACAAACAAACAAAAAATATTGTATTGGGCTATTTACATAGATAGAATTATTTGTTGAACAGCATTACACAATTAGCTGCTATAGGCTTTTTTTAGCACTTTTATTTTATGAACACAAATACATTATGTCAATGTGTTAATATTTCTGTTTTATGTTTAAAATATAACCATGATAACACACACACAATTTAAAGGTAAACGCTCCCTACGCATATATTTATATGTCTGGGATTTTTGTAGTGAAAGCATGAATAAAATTCACAAAACTTTGATTTTTATTTTTCCTGAGTTCAGACAAATTGAATCTGCTGGTCTGTAAACCAAAATTTTTTTTAAAAAAACCTTCCCTATCAGGGTAGAAATGACTTGTCAAGAATCAAACACCCTCTTTTCCTTACTTTTATGGTCAAATTGGCTTTGAAATTTAACTGTCTTTCATTATTGATTAAATTGCATACTCAAGGTAAAAAAAAATGAAGAAAAAAATGAATTGATACCTTCGTTCATAACTTTCCCTGTTTTCTAAAGGAGGAATCTTATAAACCAATGTATTTTTTGTTTTACCAATAAGTTACAAAAATAACACTCAAACAGATGCATTCGGCCATCTTTTACTTTATTACAAGTTCATGAGAAAATCCATGACTTTTTTGAAGATTGAAACATTAGAATGTTTAAATTTATTAATAATAATCTGTTTCTAATGGTTCCAATTAATATTCTGTAGCACTTTTTGTAAGAAGAATAAAACAGAAGTTGTTTGTATTACATTGCACTGATTTTTTTATTGATACAACATGTATAAGACAAGCTGGCATGTTATTGTCAAGGCCTGTTACTTTTTTGCCATGTGTCACATATATTAATTTTTTCTGGTTTAGTATTTTTTACAATGTTTTGTATTCTTGTTTTTGTAGTTGCACAAGTGACAGAAGACTTAAACACAAGAAAAATATTGCAGACAAGGGAGACAATTATGACATTTACAGGTAGTTAGGACATTTTTATTCTTCCAATAAAATAAATAAGTCATGGTATTTCAGAGGTTACATTCATTCTAAATATGCATACATAAAAAGGTTGTTCACTAAAAAAACATAAATTTCTTAATCCACCACAGTATTTTATAGTCCTTTCCAGAAACTCATTTCAGGAATCCGGCATTTTACTCTAAAATTATGATTTGAAGTTTTTTATCTCCCTTTTCCTGAAGTAGAACTGCTTGTCTTCTAACATACTTGTAATCAAACTCCATAATAAGGCTGGAAATGTTTGTAAACTAAAGTAACACATTGTTTTCTATTTTATTCTCACCATTGTTCTGCACTGCAACAAACCAGTATTTATACAATTGCAAGATACTTCCAAACAAAGGAAATAATTTGTATTTAATTGTAATTTTAAAGCCATTCAGGTTTTCAGAAGTGAGTTTCTAAAGTCTAAAGTGAACTACCCATTTACCAGAATTCACTTTCAAATTCCACAACAAAGAGTGATTATTTTTAACTAAATCACCTTGTGTGGTTTACAAATTTATAAAACATTCTGCGTAATGTACAAAAATATGTATTTGCCATATCAAAATTTTCATGTTCGATGTCTATTCAGAGGGATTTTTAATGAATCAATACTACGGTACAATGATTTAATTTAAACCTGTTAATTCTTTAAATATTTTGTGAATTTATAGTATTTTATTTCATTGAAAACAGGCAGACCACCGAAGGATGCATCTCATATAGAAGAAGTGAAGTATATGATTGAAACCTTTCCTCATCCAAACTTGGATGGTGTGGTTCACCAACAGGATACAGGTGGAACAGTTCCTGTAGATAGTGATATTTGGGGAAAACTCACAGGTAATATCATAAGGTGTAAAATGCAAACAGGGATGGAAAAATAGATGTGGTGTTGATTTATGTCAATGAGACAGCAACCCAATGTCATAAAAAACAAAAGACACCTAGAGGTCAACATAGAATCTTTAAAAATAAGCAGGTGTTTATTCAATACAATATATGTCAAGTTCTAAATCTGCAAGTATGTAAAAAGTGATAAAATACAAGAGACTATATACATCTGCCATTTACACCAAACTCCTCCCCCCAAACCCAACCCCAACCCCAACCCCAATGCAAGGTTTTTCTGATAATAAAACTACCACTCTGTATTGTATGATAATCCAAAGGGTCCTCCTTATTGCTGTCTCAATGATGCCAGGGGGATATTTACTATTGATCACTCATCACTGTATTCACACTTGACAGGAGAATATATTAATAAATTTATAAAGTGATATGTTCCTTTTCAGATGACTTGTTTCAATATTCTATAACTATTCAGCAAAGGCTATCAATAATTCCTATTCAAAAAATTTAACTTTTATCCAATTGCTTGGAAAAAGTTACTCTCACTATTTCTCACAAATTACAAACATGTGCTCTCACATATTACAAACATGTGCTATATTTACTAAGTAATATGCATGTCATTGTGTATAAGGAGATAATGACCCCAACTTTCAAATCCTTTTGAAAATGTCCAAATCCTGTATCAGTAGTTCCAAGATCATCTCTAGATCTTTTAGTTTAATTTTTATTGACAGTAGTCACAGGACATGCCAGGTGTGGATTTATGAGGGCCCCCTAAAAACAAACAAAAAATGTAATAAAGGTTAAATTACAGCCAATTTTGTGTCTAAATAGGGTCCTATAACATCAAATCCTGGATCTGCGCTTGCATGCCTTATTATATAGAGTATAATATTATAATTCATTTGTGCATCCCAGTATAAATATTGAGTTAAAATTGTTTCCGGTACTTCTTTTGAACTTTTGTGCCAAAATTTACATGCAGTAAACATAATATTACAATTTTTGATGCATACTGATTAAAAGTGCATATTTTAAGATCCTTTGTTGATTTAGACATGTTAGAGTAAAAATGTACAAAAACTAACAAGAAGCTCCAGTCAGACAGGACATCATACTTACCTAATACATCCAGTCACCAAAGATTGTAGGAAATGGTCATTCTTCATATAAACACTGTCAAGGATTGGAACAAACTGCCTCCAGATATCGCCACAGCAAAGTCTCTTGAGATATTTAAGTCACAAGTGACCAACACCTCTAACTAATCAACTCAACAATTTGTTTTTAACCTGTTTTTAATCATGTGCAATTTGCCAGAATATTCATCATGTTGAACGTTGGCAGTATTTGGAAGAAGGAGAAGATACTAAAATTTTGAAATATATATATATAATCACTGCTTTGTATTATATTGTTTAATACACATGTTCATACATTTTAAGCATCTTTGAATACATAGTACAAAATAAAAAAAAGTCACAGGGTACTCAAAGTACTAGCTTTACCAGCAGTCATAGAATGAGAAAAATACAGACTGTTCATATTAAAAGCTCTCTGTTAAAAATGTGATTACACATTTAATCTGCTTCTTTTTTTAGATTTTAAGTCCCTTACTGAGGAACAACAAAGAGAAACCAGAGAGTTTCTGTTAATGAAATTCAGTGTAGAAGATTTACAGTTAGCATGGGACCAATATTTTGTGCAGAAAGGTAAATAAAATGAATATTCATCAATTCAAACATAAAATTTTATGAAGTTTCTTATTATAAGTCAAGTCCAATTTCAAATTTTCTGCTTTAAAAAATTGTGGGATCATTTTTATGTTCGATCTCAGCTTCAAAATATATAATATTCTTTGTTGACAGGTATTTAAATATTGAAAATCTCCATATTTGAGATTTCAGTACATTGAGGTGATTCAGTGAAAAAAAAGTCTTGCTAGCCTAGAATATCAAGAAAAAATTGTAAATCTGGGTGCTTACTGATGATTTGGTCTGATAAATTCTATATTGTCATATCTTTTTCTAATCTGTTAAATAAATATGTGTATAATGGTATCATAGTGGTGGAAATAGAAGTTACCTGATATCTGCTTTGAAACTTTTACATAGTTGTTTGATATTTTCATCCTTTGCCTTGCAACCAGTGGCAGATCCAGAAATTTTCATAAGGGGGCCCACTGACTGCCATAAGAGGGGGCCCTCTTAGTCATGCTTCAATGATTCGCTATATAATCAACCAAATTTTTCCCACAAAAGGGGGGCCCATGCAGCCTGGGCCCCCCACGAAATCCGCCTGTGGTAACATAAGTAATTTTTTAATCAACTTTTTGTAGTCTGATATTGATAATTACACAATGATTCCTTATAGATTCATCTAAAAATAACATTTTTTTTTGTGTAATATTATGCTTTGTATTTCAACTTGGTATATATGTAATTTGTTTAATGTGAAAAAAATATGCTTCATGTTAAAATCCATCTTCAAAGCTTATATTTTCAAAAGAAAATTTCTTAAAACTGACAGCATTGTTATCAGGAGAATTTGATCAGCTTATCTGAGTTTAAGACTGTCACAACAGTATTCAAACAAAACTAGGTTCAACTGATGATTAAAGATATATCAGATACATTTCAGTTACTTAAAGATGAAACTCTACATTGTTTCTATTATAGAATCTTTATTACAAAATACATAAATAATTAGAATTAGCTTTTGTATGCCAACATTCACCTCAGTATTACAATAATGCAATTTCTTTTCCCAAAGTGAAAGTTTGTGCAAGATTAAAAAAAAAATGAAATCCTTATTGCCTTTATGTTTTTGTAGATGTTTTAAATATAAATAAGAAGATGTGGTATGAGTGCCAATGAGACAACTATCTATTGAAGTAACAATGTGTAAAAAGTAAACAATTATAGGTCAAAGTACGGCCTTAAACACATCAAAACTTTCATCACCTTGAGTTACAGTTATAAGCTTGTGTTTTTGTTACTTTAAGAGTTTGTTCATGTGTCTTGTTGGATTGAAGTCTTATTATTGTATTTTCATCTGATGAAAAAAAAACTATTTTAATGTAATGACGTTGGTCAAAACCTGACATGTAATAAAAATCAATCTGTTTATCTATTTTATTATTGGGAGAGTTGAAGAAAGGTTATATTTGTTGCAAAATGATTATAGAGGTGAAAAAAAATTAGAATGCCTACATCTCCCAACAAACTTAAGCTCATTTAATTTTCAGTTTTGCATTTTTGTTATATTTTCAGGAGAAATCCCAAATTGTTTACAGTACAGAATCTTTATCAACAACTGGAGAGGTAATAAAACTAAAAGAAGGACTCAGTCACTAGGTATAGTAAATGTTTGGATTGTTCAACCAAACTCTGATCATACAGTGAAATCAAACATTTCATAGTCATGAAATATCTTCTGGTTTAAGAAAAATACAAACGTTGTTGTTTATACTTTTTAAAAAATTTAAATGATATAATTGGTTGAAAGTTCAAATCAGTTTACTATGCTGTAATGGATTATTATTTTTAAAATGCTTTGATTTCATTGTAATATACAGAGTTCTGTAAATCTTTTATATATAATATTGAAATTAGAAAGACTTTTTCAGTTTGTTTGAAATATTAACAACAAAAATATCTCATAACACCTTAGAAATCAAGCAGAGTTTCTTTGAACATTAAATAAAGGCAACAGAACTATACCGCTGTTCAATAGTCATAAATCAAATAAGCGAAAACAAATTGGGGTCACAAACCAAACCAGAGGGAAACACATCAACTATAAGAGGAAAACAACGGCACAACAAAAACACTGAAATGCAACAACAAAAAAAAAACAAAAAAAAACGCCAACGTACATAGAAATGGACTATTTGATAACAACTGCCATATTCTTGACTTGGTACAGGACATTTTAAGAAAAAATGGTGGATTGAACCAGGTTTTCTGGCTAGCCAAACCTCCCGCTTATATGGCAAGGCTTTTGTCAGAATATCTGTGAAATTAATTCTATATGTAGATGTCAATACTTTTAGTTTGTGGGTCTATTCTGGTAGTGCTTTCAGGTTCTGTATATATTAAATCAATGGACAATTTCTTTTTTATTAGATTTCACACAAACCCCAGAATCTCTTAAAATATGATGGATGAAAACAGAATAATCAGATTAAATAGTTATATTGCATTTGCATGTATTTTTCCAAAATTCTTCATTTTGATGAATGGACTTGTGTTACATGTAAAAATAGAGTTATCCCCCATTTTAAGATTTATGGGCAATTTTTATCCATAGACATCTACTTATAATTTTAAATCATATTTTTGGATTCTATTTTACAGCTGAAATGATGAGAGCTTTAGAGAAAAAAGATGATGAAATTTACCAAGAAAGAGATGAGCAGCAATTATTACATTCTCAACTGGAACTGGTCAATCATATTTACAATGGACAGTTGAGGCGTGTTCAGGATCTAGAACAAGATAACGATATCTTGAGAAATAATGTTCACCAACTAGAAAACGAAGTGGAGCAAAAGTCAGAAGATATTAATCATATAAGGGACATTACTGAAGTACAGGGAAGACATGTGTACCAGTTAAGGAGGACAATAACACAGAAAGATAGACAGATATGTGATCAGTGCAGTAAGTTGAGGGATTTAGAGGATACTAAGGGGGAGTATGGGTCGGTTATTAAGAGGCAGAAATTGATGATTAAAGAAAAGAAAGATGAAGTGAAGGCACAGAGTGCTATGATTAATGAACAGAGTGCTACAATTAATGAACAGAGTGCTACAATTAATGAACAGAGTGCTACAATTAATGAACAGAGTGCTACAATTAATGAAATAAATGTGAAAAATGATGAACAGAGTGCTACAATTAATGAACAGAGTGCTACAATTAATGAAATAAATGTGAAAAATGATGAACAGAGTGCTACAATTAATGAACAGAGTGCTACAATTAATGAAATAAATGTGAAAAATGATGAACAGAGTGCTACAATTAATGAACAGAGTGCTACAATTAATGAAATAAATGTGAAAAATGAAGATCAGAGTGCTACAATTAATGAACAGAGTGCTACAATTAATGACCAGAGTGCTACAATTAATGAGCAGAGTGCTACAATTAATGATCTTATTGAGCAAAATCATGACAAATGTAAAACCATAAATGAGCTTTCTGAGAAAATAGATATGGAAGTTCATGTTGGTCAGACCAAAGAACAGATTATAGCAGAACAGAGTCAGTTGTTAGAAGAACAGAAGGCTATAATTGTAGAACAGAATGAGAGATTAAGGAAGAATAAGAAGGATGATGAAGATTTAAGAAGACAGTTGACAGAACAAGACAGAATTAACCAGGATCTGTATGATCAGTTAAAGGATGTTAAAATGTTGTGCAAGTAAGTACATGCTATGCCTCCATATGCATTTATATACAACATTATTTATATATACAATGTTTGCATATAAAATGTAGTCACAGTTAAATATCTGCTTACAACGAAAAACCAAAATTAAACATTAATGTCAGTATTTTTATAGTCATGGTTATGGGTAATACTGGTTATTTACTGATACATATACTGATAACTAATTTGTTATTTTGATTTGATCACCTCCCCCTGTTTTCTAAAAGAATAAGCATGTAGCACAGTAAGTATATCTATTTACCCTTTTTTTGTTTTAAATATATTTATGTGCTTCATTTACAACTTTATAAATTATTGACACATCAGATAAACTATTATCAAACTTGATTTTTTTTTCATATAACTTTTATTTAATTAGATTATTATACATCTATCAACTTACAAATCTACATGTACATTTTTGTACAATTGACATATTATTTCATACTGTATTAAACATGTTAAAAGGAAAAACTAATAACCATTTCAAAACAATCCATGCAAGTATTTTAATGCTATTAAAGAAGTATTGAAATAAATGTTAATATCAACATATTCCAAGTTCAAGTAGAGAACACTTACATGACTTATATTTTTTTAAAGTTTTTTCTTCATTTTTTTAAGGTGGCTTATCAATTGAAACATTACTACCTCTTGTATGATATTGAAATATTGCAACCAGAAATATATCAATAGATTTGACATTACTGGTTTTAATACATTTTCCCACTAAAATTGTCTCCCTTCTACTTCTACAATAATTACTATTCATAAAAGTACAATTCCATAGATAACTAAAATCTCAATATTTTTTGTCATCTTCAACATACATGTACTGCCAAATGAGAAAAATTTAAATGCCAACAAAACAGTGCACAGTTCTTTTTAAAGTTTGAACACCAATAAAAGAATTACACCAAATAGGAAAACTATTTGAGACATGTTTGGAGAAGGACAAGGGGAGATTATTCAACATGTTCAAAACATTAAATGAAATTTGTCAAAATTATATACATGTACATGTACATATCTTGAAGGATATATATAAGAAATTACTTGTTACATTAAGCTGACTTTTAATGGATTCAATTCATTTTAAGAAATTGAAGGATTTTCAATCATTACATTTTAGATGGATAGTTTATTCTTTAAAAACTGATAAAACAAAGGTACAGTAAGCAACCAATAATATTTTCAAACTCAACAAAACGAAAATCCTTTCACTGTTTGACAAAATCATATGGACTCACATAGACAATAAAAGCATTTATATTTCCCTATATTTGATTACAAGCATATATATCATGTCTTAGTCTTTCTTTACCATGCAATACTATACTTTATCATTGATCTTCACAGACATTTAACAACCAAAAATCACATCACAGATGTCAAGTCTTGTATTATTTTTAATTTTAGTTTCTTGTGTACAATTTGGAGTTTAGTATGGCGTTAATTATCACTGAACTAGTATATATATTTGTTTAGGGGCCAGCTGAAGGACGCCTCCGGGTGCGGGAATTTCTCGCTGCATTGAAGACCTGTTGGTGGCCTTCTGCTGTTGTCTGTTCTGTGGTCGGGTTGTTGTCTCTTTGACACATTCCCCATTTCCATTCTCAATTTTATTCTAAAAGTTAAATAAATATTCCAACTTCAGTAAATAAAGGAGATATAGTTGATATCAGTTTGTGCTTGTTGCAAAATGTCACTCATGAATGATTTCTATTTTCAGTAAGCTCATGATGAAAATACAAGCCAAATCACAGAATCAGTAGAAGTGGTAGATTCAGCAAACTCTTGGTGCAGCTAAATTATTATTTACAGTGTAAACGTTTACTTTGTACAGTGTATATATATATTGTGAACGAAATTACCATAAGAATATAGGATTTGGATTACAGACTAGTGTCAAATAGACTCTCAGGAAACTTGTGTTCTATAATTTATACCAGTTTTGTTTATTTTGTTCACTTGTTAGAGAAATTTTAAGGGCACAGTAGACTTTAAATATATTGACCTCATATGCATTTTGACCAATGAAGAGTCCTGCATTTCTGTGTAAATGCTATATTGTTACTTGTAGATTTTGACTACATATGTATTCCATGTAAATGTGGGAACCATATAGTTGATAGACATTTTGTCCAAAAACTAACCACTCATAGCTGTAGGATCATTATGTTTAAACAAGAGCTACATTATGCAAAATCCAAACAACACTTATAAAGTTGTTGTTTTGTTTCATTCATTGAAATGGAAAAGCAATATTGCATTTAAGTACATAAAGTTCACACTCTTTAATATCATATAGGGCATCTATGTTTTGAAACATTCATACAAATATGTGTTCACTTTGTATATTAGCAGTTACATATAAATACCACTGTTCACACTGATATTTTTTACATATGGTTGAATCTGAAATAATTTTGTGTCATAATTTGTATAGTAATATATTGAAAATTCAGTTATTAAAAAAGAATTCAGTTTGTTCTGTCGGCCAGTTCATGATTGCATGATAGGATATAATGTGTTGGTCTTCCTGAATGAACAGAGCTTACGATTACAGTTTTTATTGAAGAGTTATTATTGTCATTACAGTAATCCTTAAGCTTTGTCCATTCCAATCAATATATCAATAACATTTAAATATTTCCAAAAATACTTGCTTTCATGGGAGATAACTCAAAAATTATATTTGGCATGTGAAGAATAGACTTGCTGTTAGACCTATGATCATCTGTTCTGTTGTTAAGCAGCTGGATTAATTTTTTTAGAAGTATTGAAAATGTTGATGATTGGTTGTAAATAATTTTGGATATGAACTAACATTGATTAGGCTGAATGTATTTCAGTCATTGTTATTTTTGTATCAATATAACAGCTTATACATAATTTAGTAGTGCTATTTAAAATAACCTATTTTGCTTAATGTTAATTATCTTATGCTATGTTTTGTTCAAGCAATGTATATTTCTGTTTTGTTTGTTATATGAAGTTTATTATTATTGCTTAAAATATGTTTTTGTATATGTCTCTTCCTTCTTTTGTGCTATTTCAGTTATGTTTCATTTATGGAAGAAAATTATTAACATTATGAAAAATACATATTAAGGAAGTTCGCTACTCAGTTTCAAAATAACAAGCTTTTCATAACACAAGTATATATTGATATGGGATTAATAAAGGAACCAAAAGAGCGAACAAAGATATAGGTCCGTGTGCTTGTTTTCGAGATATTAGCCATTGAAATTTTAGCGGGAAAATGTTCTCTCTTGATTTTTCATAGCTTTATCATTGACAAGTTTAAGTTCTCAAAAACTATTAAAAAGTAACAAAGATTTTATAAGACCTTTACAGATGGCTTATAATTATACATGTAAAAGATTTATAAAAAGAAAAATGGGGGTTAGTGGGCAAAATTTTTTAAGGCATTCAAATGGATAAAACCAGAGGATTCCCAAAATCTGACAAAAATTCCAAAACATGACAATGCAAGCGAACATCCTTAAATCACAAATTTAAATGTAAAATTCACATGAATTTTAAATTAGTAGAAATTTTTGAAGAGAGAGAGTTCTCATAATACATATGATTATAAGCATTTGAAAGGAATATCATGCTACATGCAAAAGTCATATAAATGCACATGAATCCTTCAAATATAGTCCAACACTGCCACATCTGAGGTATCCAGTATTACAATTATATAATCAAGACATTTACACAATATATGTCTCAATTCCAGTTGATGTGTTCAAATTTAAATAAGCAGCTGATTTGTTTTATATTCTGATATATGAAAGATTATTTACCAACAAATTGTATACTTTTATATCCATATATTATTTGTATATATTAAGAATAAATATGTAGTTTATTATTTTTCATCATTTTTATATTTCCAAACATGCATGTAATTTATGCTGCTGGAGATTAAGAAACCACCAGTCAGTTTAATCTTTCATAATATTTTCACCTGTTATCAATATGACATCAAGAGTTATGGCTGTAAAAGTATTTTTTGAGATTTTACTTTACAAAGAAAACTGCAAATATGTATGCAATGCTTTCATATAAAACTAATTTTACACAATATCTAGAAAGAAATCAACCAATTGTTAGGCTATGGTAAGCTGCCTTAATGCTACTAATAAACCTGGTGTATGAATTTTACCCCCATAAAATATGTCTAATTTCTGATTTTCATAATAGTATCTACCTATGATCTTAATTTCTATTTCTTTTCTATTTTATCTTTTATCTATCATGTCTTTCTAAATCTTTTATAGTGTATTAATTATATTTTATTCATATGAAATTTTTATAGGTAAAATTTTTTAGATATTTTAATAAATATGAATAAAATTTTATGTACATGCATTTATGCAGTTTAATCTGCACAAAAGAATTTTATGTAAAAATATATTTATAAAATTCTTTATTTATTATGTACAGTGTCTAACACAACTTCTTTCTTGTCTTTTATGTTGTAATTTTATACAAAAAATTGTACATTGTTTAAATATTAAAAGTATGGATTACTTTGTTTTCTATATTGAAAGTAGATATATGTACAATTAATTTGTTTTATGGACAAAAAACTTTACTTCAAAATGCATTTATTAGTTTCTGTGTTTTGTTTGTTTTTTTAATTACATGTAATGTATTACATTTTAATCACACTCTGGCTGTGATTAGCTTTTAGTTCTGTACAACAATTGCAAGGGCTGTTCCACAATTTAATATGTGTGTTGAGGGATTTGCTTAATAAGAACTTAAGATAGCAGTTAATTGGTGCTCAGGGAAATAATTCATTTTTGGTAAGCTGCCAGCTGGATACAGAAAAAGTACATTTTCTTTGGTTAACTTCAGTAACAATTATTTAAAAATATAATTTCTTAAGTTTTCAGAAGTGTCATAAACATGTACTTCTACAGACCAGTTGTAAATTTTTAAGTCAAAATGTGCTGCTTCTCATTAATTCATCCCATGACCTCTTGCAGATTTGATGAAAATACCCCTTCACAATATGTAGTTGCTATACTGCATTAGCACTAGATATTGTGAAAGGCCTTTTAGTTATGATACATTTATTTTAACATACCGTACTTGTAAATGCATTGAAGGTGAAACCATTAAAATATATGAATATTTAGTTTGTTTTTAAGTCAATGAACAAAAATCCAAGCCCTATTTGTTCTTTTATCTGAATCATGAAAAATATTATGCATTTTTTGTATGGAACATGTTTCTTGGTGAAATGACTGCAACTATCATTGAATGGAAATTTATTTTTATGCCCCATCTACAATAGAAGTAGGGGCATTATGTTTTCTGGTCTGTGCGTCCGTTCGTTCATCCATCCGTTCATCCGTCTGTCTGTCCCACTTCAGGTTAAAGTTTTTGGTCAAGTTAGTTTTTGGTGAAGTTGAAGTCCAATCAACTTGAAACTTAGTACACATGTTCCATAGGATATGATCTTTGTAATTTTAAAGCAAAATTAGATTTTTGACCCCTATTTCACGGTCCAGTGAACATGGAAAAAGATAGTGCCACTTCAGGTTAAAGTTTTTGGTCAAGGTAGGTAGTTTTTGATGAAGTTGAATTCCAATCAACTTGAAACTTACTACACATGTTCCCTTTGATATGATCTTTGTAATTTTAATGCCAAATGAGAGTTTTGACCCTGATTTCACAGTCCAGTGAATATAGAAAATGATAGTGCAAGTGGGGCATCCATGTACATTGGACACATTCTTGTTATAAGGATAAGTTGAGAGACTTTCCAATTGTTGAGTTTAGTTGAAAGCATAGCTGTCTTAGAGGTCCATATGAAGTTGTTTGTGTCATTTTGCTTTTGGGGATTTCATTTCTTTAGTTTTAAGTAAACAGTCTAGATAGTTGTAGAAAATACATTTATATCAAAGTTATGATCTGTAAGATACACTTCAATAAAAGGAGAAATGGGTATGAAGTAAAAAGCAATGTGATGGAAACAAGAACAAAATTTATCCAAAAATATACATCTGTATGTCGCCATACAACCCTCAAAGGGTGGACATGCTCTTAAGCACCACACATCTAAACAGTTACTAGTGTTGAATAAATTCAAGAAATGACATATGATTTGTAATCAACACTCAGTTCTTGTAAATGGACACAAAAACATTGATAAAACAACAAGTCTAAGATACCTGATTAGAAACAGACTAAACATATAGTTATTTTTTGTGTGTAAATAATCAACAGTTGGTCTTGGTCATATAAACCTATTTGTAGATCTTACTTTGCTGAACATATTTGCTGTATACAGTTTATCTTTATCATTAACACTATTCAAAATAATAACCAAAAACTGCAAAATTTCCTTAAAATTACCAATTTAGTGGCAGCAACCCAACAATGGGTTATTAGATTCATCTGAAAATTTCAGGGCTGATAGAACTTCGCCTAATGAGCACTTTTACTACATGTCAGATTTGTTCTAACTCCTTCGATTTTTGAGATATAAGCCAAAAACTGCATTTTACCCCTTTGTTCTATTTTTAGCCATGGCGGCCATGTTTTTTGACGAAACAGAAAATAAAACACAAACTTTATTTTAGATAACCTAAGGATCATTCAGCTAAAGTTTGGTTGGAATTGGTTCCGTAGTTTCAGAGGTGAATATTTTTTAAAGTTAGAAAACATAATGAACAAATTGTGTAAAATTGTCCTAAAAGGGCAATAACTCTTTAAGAGGTCAATTGACAATATTGGTCATAAAAAAACCTATTTGTAGATCTTACTTTGCTGAACATATTTGCTGTATACAGTTTATCTTTATCATTAACACTATTCAAAATAATAACCAAAAACTGCAAAATTTCCTTAAAATTACCAATTTAGTGGCAGCAACCCAACAATGGGTTATTAGATTCATCTGAAAATTTCAGGGCTGATAGAACTTCGCCTAATGAGCACTTTTACTACATGTCAGATTTGTTCTAACTCCTTCGATTTTTGAGATATAAGCCAAAAACTGCATTTTACCCCTTTGTTCTATTTTTAGCCATGGCGGCCATGTTTTTTGACGAAACAGAAAATAAAACACAAACTTTATTTTAGATAACCTAAGGATCATTCAGCTAAAGTTTGGTTGGAATTGGTTCCGTAGTTTCAGAGGTGAATATTTTTTAAAGTTAGAAAACATAATGAACAAATTGTGTAAAATTGTCCTAAAAGGGCAATAACTCTTTAAGAGGTCAATTGACAATATTGGTCATAAAAAAACCTATTTGTAGATCTTACTTTGCTGAACATATTTGCTGTATACAGTTTATCTTTATCATTAACACTATTCAAAATAATAACCAAAAACTGCAAAATTTCCTTAAAATTACCAATTTAGTGGCA